AATGTGTGGTAGAAATCAAGCAAATTGTCACCTCCCTTAAGCTTCTCTGGCCATCGGATGAAAGATATAACAACTATTAACATATCAGTTGTGATCGTCCACCCAGAATGCAATCATTTTAACTGATGTACGGAGCGCTTACATGCCCATGAGCCATGATTAAAGGAACTGTCTTGAAAGCCTTAGCAACTATGAACTAATTGCTCATTGCCAGCCCTCATGGTTGCCCACCTGGTTTCCACCTCCCACACCATATTTGGGGACTTTTAAAACGATTAATTTCTAGACCTTCAGACTCACAGTATATCTAGAATAGCAGACAAAACAGATGTCTGCATTAAAGAGAAACACCTTACCCCTCACTGAAAGTCCCCATCGGAGAGCGGTGTTCAATGCCTCCGTGTTCAGAACTTCCTTTTCCAGCCCTGATCCACTTTCATTACAGGTGGCAAATGATAAAACTGCTACCCATTGCCTTGGCAACACATCCGTTTGCTAAAAATAGAAATAAAACCTGAAGTTTACTTAGAATTTTCTATCTACCAGGTCTCTTACTAATTCAGGAAATACTTTTCAAAAGCAATAGATAATAATAACCTCAAAGAGTAACAGGAAAATATCTCATGAGAGAAGACACTCATGAAAATGTGTTAGTTTATTTTTTAAATATGAATCAAAAAGTTTTGGTGCCATTAATGTTTTTTAATGTTCGCCATTAAAATAGTATTTCTGCTCTAAAATTTATACTACATTTAGTCTTCTAGTAACTTCCTGAATTTTTTGCATACTGAAATTTCCCATATCGGAATTTTTTTAGTTAAAGGAAATAAAATTACTCGGAAGAAGCTTTAACTGTAGATTTGAAAACGATAAAAGATTAATGCTTTAAAGCTCTAGTGTATAAATCAGATAAAAATGCAAGTGCAAAACTCAAGAATTTCTATATCGTTATTGTAAGTTCCCAGTAGAAGGAACTATAGCCTCATAATTTAGTTATTTCTTATTTACATTCCACTTCAACATTCCTATGGTTCTACTTTTTTTCTTTTATCAGATTCTGTTGGTAAATGGAAGAAAAAAGAAATAGAAAATTTTCATAACTGAGCCTAAATATTAAAAAGTAGCAGCAGATTGTAGAACAGCCAAACACCACAAAAGTATTCATAGTATTTTATTTCTTCAATTTGTTGGCTAGAACCTACCTTTAGCAGTTATCTCAGGGCTTGCTCACAATTTAGGAAGTCAGCTAGGCAGCTTTCCCAGGAAACACGGCAGGACCTGCACTGTGTTGAAATAGAAATACATCTAGACTACGTTTTGGGGCACAATGCCAAAGTCTGCATACTTCCTCACCCTGTAATTAACTATTGTTGTTACAACAGGATTCTCACCTCCATTTGGACACTTTTAATGAGTTTATATGTTTATCTTATTTTCAAAGGGATTGTTCCTTTGAATCATTGAATTCTGAAAGTATTAAAAAATTATCTGTTTAGTTTGCTTCTAATTTATAAGGAATATTACATAGCTAATTTATAGAATACCTAGAATACATAATGGTATCTATCTGACTTTCAAAGATAAGTTACCAAAAGTTTGAAAACCTAAATAATTATTCCTAATAGTTGTTGAATACTCATTATATACCATGTAATATACTAAGCATTTTTGTGCATCATTCATTCATTCATTCATTCAACATACACCTATTACCTACTATGTGTACTATTGTAGGACCTGGAAAACAACAATGAACAAAATAATATCCCTTTTTTTCATGGAGCTTATGCTTCAGTAGGGAAGCAATCAATGATTAAAAGTATAAACCATGTATAAACCATGTGTAATGAAAATAAGTGCTATAGAGAAACGTGAAGCAGAGATTCTGTGTGTGTGTGTGTGTGTGTGTGTGTGTGTGTCTTATTCAAATTTTGTGACATAAGCAGAGACCTGAAGGAGGTGAGACAGTCCAAAATTGGATCTCAGGGGGATGTTTGTTAAAGAGCATTGAACAATTATTTATTGAGTATTTCTTATAACCACTTACCATTTAATCCTAGCAACACTTCATGACAGGTACTTTTATTGTTCCCTTTTTATAGGTACGAGAGTTTTGAGGCTTAAAAAATGTAAAGAAACTTGCATAAAGCCACACTACTTATAAAGGGCAAGCTCAGATTTAATTCAGATCTGTCTCACTCACAAGCTGTGCTTTTAACCATCTTCCTCCTATCAAATTACCCAACTACCTAACAATCTTATTTCCACATGCTCAATATTGGTACCTACCTAATAGGATAGTCAATTACAACATCATGCTTAAAAAGAAAAAAAAAATCAATTCAAGAGGAAAAGAGTAAATGAAGTTTGGCTCAATCAAATAAATAAATGGAAAAATGTCTCTCTACTCCCCAGTGAGGGATCTAGATAGAGGCAGAGCAGAACTTTTAAGTTATGGCTCTCCAGGCACACAAAAAAAAACAAAGGATGCCCTAGCTGACCCTTGGGGAAAGGTACTGAAATTGTCTTTCAAAGCAGCACTCTCAGGACTGCCAAAAAAGGAAAAGGAGAGAGGAGGAAGGAGAGGGAAAGAAACAGTTTGTTACTGGAAGTCTCTATCATCACTTCCCCTTCTGTTCACTCTTCTCCTTTCGATTGAATCTCAGCATCAGGGTTGGATGTTTTCATCTAGCTACATAACTGAGCTCTTCACAAGGTATAATCTACTTCAAGACTGGTCCTGCTGGAATGGGAGGAATTGTTTCCAAAATCGACCATCTGCATGACTTCACTTAAGCACTAAATTCCACAAGGTCTTAGCCATGTGGCTGGCTGAGAAACGATGGCAGAACTCTCTCTCACCAATTCCTTGACCAGGCTTGGGGCCTTCGATTTCCTCTTTACTCCCTGGACGTTCAGATACCTGTACATTAAGTGTGTGTGTGTGAAGACAGAAGAGTATGCATAGGAAAACGGAAAAAGGAGAAACTGTGTTCTCCAGCCACTCCAGATCTGCATAAGTGTTTGCAGTGATTGAGTGATTTGAGGAAAAATGAACATACAAGCCCAAGCAATCAATGGGAGATTATCTTAATACCAGGATAGATGTTTTTCCTTCTGCCTCTCAGGTCCAAAGAGGAAAATCAGGACGAGTGCCTTAGGTTGTAAACTTTAAGGTCAAGCACCTTTTCTGTTGAGCTTAGCTCTCAAGTTCTCAACTACGTGTGAAACATAATTAGTAGCACGATAAATATAACTTGTGGAAGATGCGATTGAAAATCAGAGGCACCTTCCATGGGCCCCGTACAGAGCCTATCATAAAGAGGATTAAACAATGTTAACAGGGCTATTAAAAATTATCACGTATTAAAAGTATGCTCTTCCCTAGCGCCTCTTATTTGAGTTTCCGTGTGGGTGTGTTCGTAAAAGAGGAGTCAGTGAGCATAGAGTGTACTGGGTACAGTGTGTATTTGTAAGGGAAAACAGAAGCTCTCATTGAGAAAGAGCATATGTTTCTGAGACTGCATCTGTGCAAAAGTACATAGTCCCTGAAGTTGTACTAAGAAAAAAAAACTACCGTATTTTAAAAAGTCTTTGATTTCACACAGGTCATCTTCTTGACACATTTCCCTCCTACTGCTTCTTCTGCCTGACCAAATAGCCTTTTCTCACTCTCAGGTCCAGGAAAACCACGAAATGTTTCCCACAGTCTAACAGAGCCTGACTAATCACTATGCATTTGGGAATCCCAGAGGCAAACCTCAGTCCAGGAAGAGAAGTGACTCTCCAGGGCGCACCTGCCCAGAGGGCGGCCCCTCCACAATCAAGCGGAAATCACGTCCTTTCCGAGGGCTGGGGCAGAGGCCCAGCAAGGCAACTGAAGTTGGGCGCGGCCCCGGCAGGCAGTATCCTGGGCGACTCCAGAGTGTGCGCGACCTCGGGAGAACCGCGCGCTCCCCCACCTCCCCCGGGGCGGGTCCGACACGCCAGGTATCTGCGCACGCGGCTGGCTCCGCCCCCGCTGCCGGGCCGAGTGCGCCCTCCCGGCGGGAGCCGCGCCTCCTCCCTCGGGGAGGCTGGACTCTGGACTCGGGTGGCGGCGCTGCCCTCGGCTCCAGCCTCGCACCCCCGCT